TCGTCACTGCAGAATCCTGGAGGGATGCAATTCTGCGGCAATGAAGGCTCATTAGGGGGTGTTACGGGGGAGTAAGGGGTCATGTTGGGGAATCATACTGCATTAGAGTTTCCAACTAGTAGGAGCAGCATTGATTACAGGTTGGAAGTTGGAAGCGATGAAACAACAATAAAGGAACGTGAAAGATAATTAGGCTTGCCTAGACGTTCTACTCTCTACCTGCTTGATTTCCGAACTGGACGGTGATTGCCTTCAGTGAACTTGAATATGCCTCCATACGCGTCTTTCAATGAATCAATCCCGTTCATGACATGATTTGTTGGACCACTTATCTTTCATGAGTAGGCGAGGGGAAGACAGGGATGGTTTCCTTGCCCGGGGAAACAATTACTGTTTTCGAGACGCTTGTGGGTGTTGTTGTTTACAAACGATTCGTTCTCGGGCTGCCGAGAGCTTTTTAGATCGTCTGGTGTATTTTTTCAAAGACTTGCAAGCTGACGCTGGGTGCCCCTCTCCCCACCTCAAGTAGCGGCAGAATTTCAGAAAACGGCTGAGGGCCTTCTCCTCACCTGTGGATGTTGTGGAGTTGTTGCGACATGTTGTCAAGGTTGGCATGCCTCCTGGGTGTATTGTTACAATTCGTCAAGCAACCTAGGCAGAATAGTTCTGGAAAAACATTTGAAGTGACACTCTTTCTAAATGTGACACTGGGAGAATATACACGATGAATTGTCGGGAGTCTTATGCAAAAAAGGTCCCTATGCAAAACCATAATTCATGGGAGTTCCTAGACTTTCATGACAATAATTGATGTAAGGAGTTTTTCTTTTTCGGAAGTTGGAAAAGCCAGAAGCCAAGAAAGGAATGTGAACAATAATTAAGAGTTGCGTATATGTTCTACTCTTTGGCTGTCCTCAAGGCTTCGTGCCTGGGCATGTAAAGGTGAGAGCCTGAAGGCAATCCAGCTGGAGTTTGGGGCTTCCTGAATTTCCTACGTTGCTCTTTTATTGCTCTTGAACGCAAACGATAGTTCTACAAAGCCAGGAAAGGTTGGTCGGCCTTGCTGCAAGTCTCCACCGTAAATGGACTTCTAGCCTTCGTCTGCGCTGCAATCAAGGTTGATTTCCGTTAATCAGCCCGATCAATTCCGGATAATTCCTGGATGAAAGTAAGTAGCTTTTCGAGTTGACTCATTCAGTGCATTCAAAAATATGATCAGGCTGAAATAGCAGCTGAAACGGTCAAGGCATGGACACGTCTCGACTTGTTTTTCCTGCTCGATCAGAAAGCGTAATCATAGTCCGGCCGATAGCTTGATGCCTCCCTGATGCTAGCGATTCCAGACCCCTCTTGGTGAGCTGAACCCCTGTCGGAAAGAAAATGGCTTCAAAAGGGCTGTGAAATCCTTTGGGTTCAGCACATTAGAGTTCTTGTTTAAACGCTGGACCGGATGCATCTCGCAGGCTGAAGGACCCATTGCGATCAAGTTCGCGCAGTGGGCATCTACCAGACCGGACATATTGCCCCGAAGTGTCTGCTGCCCATCAGGTTGAGGCCTCAGGCATTGTATCCGCACATTTAGAAAAGCTATGAGGTCTGTGACCAGCTTTCCCCGTTACAGGCACGAAGCTAGGTGGACAATCGCATGTGGCCACTGCAGCCTGAAGATGAGTTGCGCCTTGATTGCAGGCAAACGTGAAGCCGCACAGCTTCAATCAGACGAAGAGGACGCAGACCTCACCTCCCATTCGAAATTGAATGTTCAGTCATGTCATGATGCAACTCCATCTCTTCGCCCGCTAGCAAACCTCCAAGCCAGAGGCATGCAACACGTGCAGATTTTGCAGCAGCACAGCTTGCAGGATTCTGACGCAGACATTTGGACCATCTTGGGAAAGTTCCTTGCAGCTGGTGTCAGCCTGAGTGTCTCAGAACACCTGAAAACCTTCCAAGGACGTTTGGAACTGGGTAATTATTCGCTACGGCCTAGCTCATGTAATTGTGAGACTGAACGTCTTCGCAGCACTGTCAGGATGCAGAGCCGATGGGTTCTGGATGCATGGCGCAGGTTCACCGAGGACGCCTGACTGGCCGGGTGCTTGGAACCAAAACAATCTGGCAATCTCCCTGTCACAGCGGAGAGCCTACCATAGCCTACCCTTCACTGGTCTAACTGAGTCTTACAGCAGGTCCCCTCAGCAGAGAGGGCAAGCAGGCCGGCGTTGCGATGATGTTCAGTTCCGCCTCACGGCCCGCACTTTTCAACACGTAGACTTGGCTGCCTTCTTTCGGTTCTCTCGCTGCCAGGATGCCGTGCAGCCCCGGGATGTGGCGGTCAAGGCCCGGCTGCGCAAAGATCCCGACAAGCTCGACAGCTTCCTGAGTGGACTCGGCTGAGGTGCTGCATCCTGGTGCCCAGGACTGCTGACGACGCATTTTGGTTGTGAAGTACAGTACGTAGTCCTCCAAGTGATGCTTGTAAACATTGATAAGCAAGTGGAGTCGTGTGCAGATAGGGCACTGATGCAGGACAAGGTGGACCTTGATCTAGAGGTCTTGCCGGCACAACCACGTCGGTCCTTCCGCTGCACTGTGCCCATTGCAGAATTCTTCCTGAAAGAATTTGTTTTGGCATTGATTTGAACTCCCGCCTCGCCTGGGATCAAGCCTGGTTAACCTACGGGTAAAGTCGGGCTCAGTGGGGACCCATGCAACAGTAGTCAGACAACAGACAACCTTGAGAAGGAGCCTTAGCGTGGCGACCAGTCCTAGCAAGAGCACACACACCATACCCAAGCTCAGACATCGTGAAGTCATCATTGTCACACTATGCCTTGGTTTCCTCATGCTGCAGACTAGCTGCGGCGGAGGCCTGCTACAAAATTCGCCTTTGCTCTCGCCATGAAATTTAGCATCAGGGAGCCCTTCAGTAGTTGTGACTCACAAGGCTTTCTTGTGTTGGCCTTTGGCCATGTTCCGGCATTTAGAGCCCAAAATATCCGGCAGCGTTGCCTTCTTGCAGTTTTCTCAACGCTCAATAGGCAGTTCAAGTGGCAACAAGGATATCTAGTCAGCAACATATGTTTCTGAAAGAACAACAGAAATTAACTACCCCCGACTCCTTCCCTGTTGCTGCTTGAACTGGCTGTTGAAGCCAATTTCATGTATAAGTACAGGGTGCATGACACATGACAGACAAGCTTGCAGAAGAGCGGAAACGGCCCGTTATCGCAGAACTCCGCAGCAAAACCTCTGTTCTTTGAAAATATGACGGTAGGGGAAGGGCAGCGGGGACACAAGGGAAGCGAGGTGAACATTTTCAAACAACAGTGGACATGGCCCCTAATCGCAGCATGCCATTGCAAAACCACTGTTCCTTGAAACTCTCGTTGGAAGGGGGGGAAGGGGAACTGCGGGAATGGAGGTAGGGGAAGAATCTTCAAAAAGCAGTGGAAACGGCCGCTAACCACAGAATTCAGAAGCAAAACCAATCCTCTTCGAGCATCCTATGGCAAGGGAGGGGGAGTGCAGGTTGGGGAAAAGGGGGGGGAGAGGGAGGGGGAGGGAGCTGAACATCTTCAAAGAACAGTGGAAACGGTCCCGAATCGCAGAATTCCCGAGCAAAACAGCTGTTCTTTGCAACGCATGGAATGCACATTGCCGGACACTGCAGTTTCTAGGATTCATCTCCCGGTTGAGCGGATTTGTTCGCAAAGGGTGCTGTGGCAGAATGTTCTGTTGCAAGCTACGTCCTCAGGTAGCAAGCTGTCCTTGTTCCATGCGGGATGCACTGCGTCTCAATCCTTGAAAACGGAGTGGACTGAAAATGGTTACCCAACTCCACATGCTGTGACTTGCTCATTCTGCACAGGCCATGGGGAATTGCCACTGCAAGGCCAGGTCCTTGATCCCACTTGGTGGCATAGATGTCAGCCGCGATTCTTTTGCATGGCTAAGGACAAGGAACTTCTTGCACAGCGCGAGGCAAAACCCCTCTCTCTGCGTCGTCTTCAGCACAAGGGAAAAATAAAAGCAGTTGGAGGCCTTCGAACCGGAGCCTGAGACTGTCGCTGACGATCCAGATTACCCGGAGGACTGCAATTTTGCGAGTGCAGATGCTTGAACTTGATGCATGCAAAACCACTGATGCCACATTGATGCAGGCTTTGTCGCCGCTGTCAGCCAAGAGCAATGCAAAGGCCGCATAAGCATTCAGAGCCAACGTGCTGGACTGGCCTTCAGAGCTCGCGTTAGGATGCAAGTCTGGCAAGAAATCGTCCGAGACATGGACATGCCGGCGTGCAGGTTAATGAAGATTTCCTGCAGAACAAGGACGAGACAGCCGATGCAAATGACGAAGAGGCACTTACAAGCTTAGTCCAGACTGGGGAAGTTGGCCGAGTCCAACCTTTCTCTTATGACCGCCTGCCTGTCGATGCATTTTTTTTTTGTAATTTCGTTTCTGGGGCCAGAAGTCTGTCACCGGGGTCTGTACATGCCAGCAACCTCAATCTCAAACTGAAGTGAACGCCGGGAGCTGCAGCTTGAATTTCATATTTGTTCACTTGTGGATTGCAGTTTGCAGCTTTCGACCCGTGCATCCGATTCCCTCGGCAATAGGTAGCTTGCTTCTCGGATGAAATTGCCTCGTGCCTCGTGACAGGCAAGTGACGTGGGTGGCAGTGAAATTAGTGATGTCGGAGAAGACGGAGACGGCGATGATGCAAGCGCTGTGTCAAGCTGTGCCTGAGATACCTTATGCGCTGCGATGCGCTGCGCAGCGCACAAATCTACAAGTTGAATGCAGCTGAGGCGCCAGCTCAGCTGTAAGTCCAAAGTCTGAAGGCACCATCAGCTAGTGCCTCATTGCTCTGATTTTCGTGCCTGTGTGCAAGGCATCTGTTTGCTGCCATACATTCCGGAACGCCACGAGTTGAATGACATGGATGACATGCTGCCAAGGCCGCAAGTCCCATCGGAGAGGTCTCAAGAAGCTGAAAATGACGGACACGAGACTGGCCTGCATCGGAGCTAGTCCCTTTAACCCTATGTGGCTCTTTGTGTAGTTGGACGTGAAATCGCACAAAAAGCGTGGTGCGCTCAGAGGATGGGTTTCGTTCCCTCGGCTGCCCTGCTAGTGGTTCCGGATAACCGAGGCCCGGATCCTGAATAGTACAGGGGCTTGACAAAGGTCACGGAATGTCACGGGTATGCCAGGCCAATTGGCAGACAACTATGAGGTCGAGCCGGTGGCGCTTGGCAAAGGTGGCTTCGCAGTCTGGCCCCCGGTGATACGCTCGATTCTCCTTCCCATGTAGCGCAGTTGGTTGAATGAATTGGTAGCTGCGCAGGAATTATGGGGTCTCTACCAAGAGTTCTGTACGGCAGAATTTCGAAACCATCATCTGGCAATCTGCAGCCATTCTTCACATGCATGCTTCAGGACTTCCACCACAGCCAAGGAAGTCCGTCGCGCCACAGTGCGTGCAACTGGAGCCAAGCGAGCTGTGAAACTAATTTCCAAGTCAGCGACTGGTCAGCAACTAAGTCCAGCAGGTCAATCAAGGCAGATGGCACAGTTTTGCTTCATTCTTCTGACAATGACCCGGAGTTCTGTTTAGCTGTGAGTGCCAAGTCATTCCAACTCTGCCAGCTTTTTCCAGCATTCTGGAAGTCTCAGGGAGAAGGCTTCTGCTAAACATCTCCAGAGTGGCCATGACAAGCCGGTGTTGTGCTGTTCGTGTCCAGGACAAAAACAATCCCGGGCTGTTGAAAGCGGAGCTTCTTGACTCAAGTTAAGTTGCTGCTTCTGCCGAAGTGTTTGAATGCCGCATCATCAAAGCCAGTGCGCAGAACACTCACCAAGACGCAGATGTGTTGTGTACCGACTGCTTACTCAGGATTGAAGTCATGAAGATGCAGCTTGGACATGAAGTGTCTGTGAAAGATGTACCTCTCCCTGTCTCGTCTCCCTCCTTTCTTCCTCCTCTTTGCCTTTGCCTGCCTCCGCGTGTGACTTGCATGTCAAATTTGGTTTGTGCGCGACAAGAAGCATCACTCCGTAGCGGCGTGCTTTTTGCATTTGAGCAGCGCAACTCTCATCACCTGCCGGAGAGCTGTTGACCTGCAGTCTTTGTATTTGGACCACTTGGAACCGCGGGAAGTATTTCAAAGACAGCCGACTTTGGTGTCGGCCGGGCATTGCTTCACCCCATCTTGGCATCCAGCCACTACCGTCAGGCTAGACCACCCAAATGTGGTCACCCTTTTCGAAATCTTCGAAGATTCAGATACGCTTTCTCTCGCCGCAGCCTCTGTTCTGATCAATGTCCATGGATAGTTTTGCCTGCCACTGCCACTTAAGCTCCGGGACCACGCTGCTAAGCTGCTAGGTGTTGGAGCTTTGCAGCGGTGGCGAGCTCGAAGGCTACGCTGGGAGCTCAGAGATGACCAGATTGCTTCGGTGGTCCTCAGCTGAAAAGCGCGGATCTTAGGTGGAGAAACACGGCAACTTGAAAGAGCCGGAGGCTGGCGGGAAGCTCACTGTGCGGTGTCGTTCATCTGCAGGTCATAAACATGGTGGTAATAAGGCAAGGAGTTAGGCATCATGTCAGTTGTCCTACCAGTGCTATTCATCCTGTATTTCCAGCAACATTTTGTGGGCATCTTGGAAAGTTGCTTATCTATCTTAGTACTTGGATGATCCTTCTGGGATAAGTCTAGTGGAGGGTCGCAAGTATGAACTGGTGGGTTCACTGGGGGTCATCTCTGGGCTTTGGGAGTATTTGGGATTCGGGCCGACCGCTACCAATCATTTAGCTGTAGTCATACGTGCTTTTGCATTAGATGTGTGCCTGCCACACGCTTTATACGGGAGCTCGCTGTGGAGCATGGCATGCACAGGCAGCACTGGCTACCAAGCATGTGATGTCGGCGGTGCGCTACCTGCACAGTCGCTCGGGCACGAACAGTGCGGAATCCGCTACTGTACACGATGCAATTTTGATGGTTTGGGTTGCATTCCAGACATTCCCGCTCTTAGTGGCGAGCGCGATCGCACGATCTCCACCTGAGGCAAAGGAATCGTGCACAGGGACATCAAAGCTCCGAACTGTTTGCTGCTGCTTCCAACGGGCCTAGATGCTCGCCAAGCTGTCAAGCTTAGCAACTCGGCTGAGTTTTTGGTCACTCGGGCATCCATTTTTTCAGCCTTAGGGCGGTGTTGAATGGTATCGAATACAAAGCTTTCAAGTGTCTCCCACATTCGTGTAAGGCCTCTGAGTTTGGGAGATCTAGCTTGTGATCGTCCCGCTTAGAGACTTGGGCCAAGTCAGAAGGCCTTATTCTAATTGCAAAGAACTTTTTCAGCGAACCTCTAAACATAAAGTGCTCGTTTTGCTTTGTTGACAGTCCCTGTCGTTTCCGATTCGGTCCGTGCGTCATTGGACTTGCTGGCTGGGCTTTACCTCAATCATTGAGGTTAAAACATCCCGGCAAACGGGGGGAGTCGTGGACCTGTGCTGTTTTCAGAGGGGAGGAAGAGGGCCCACAGCATTGCAACCGCGGAGTCATGTCTCCTGCATCCAAACTCAACATTGGAAGAACGCGCCCTCCGGTGAAGACCCATGCAACCTGGATTCCTTTAAGACTTTCAGCCTTTAAGACACTTCGCTGTGATTCCCAGTGTGCTTGTGCAGGCCCCCCAGCAGGAGACCATGAGCTATGCTTGCAAGCAGCAGTCGTGATTAGTTACTAGTGGGCTGCCTGGAACGCTTGTTCCTCAACAAGCATTCAGTTGAGGGGTTGAGGACGCTTCGCGCTTTGGGAATGCTACCCTGATCAATTCACGTGGTATCGCGCAGTGTTGGTTTGCTGGTTTTCTGTCACATCCTCTTCATGTTACTTCTCCTCCCGTTTCTTTTGGAGCCGCTGTGCGTTTCCTGGATCGTTTTGCTTGTTGTTGACTGTTGCTTTCCGGCCCTGCGCTTGCCGCCGCTTTGGCGAGCAGGCACCGGATCACGTCATGTCGTTGTAACGCTTCACGCCCGAACGGTTCAAGCAAAGCCGCTGGCAGCAGGCTCTACGCACCCGGGCCAACGCTCAAGTGGAACTCGCAGTGACATCGCTTCATCCTGACTGAGGTGACTATGGCTTGTCATGCCACTTCCAGAAGGGCGTGGCTCTAGCGCAGAGGCTCTGAAGTGGCTGTGCTTGCCTGAGTGCTTGCTCGCATGCTCGCATGCTCGTCGCAGGTGTGGCACGCCAAGTCATATGGCACCGGAGGCCACTCAAGACACAAGCCCCTCTACAGTCTGCGCCGTGCAGTCATGTGCAATTCTGCAAGAGTGTCTGGTCCTCTTGCCAGATTTTCACGCGGAACTACACCGAGCAGCGGCCTTAAGACCATGTGTTTAGAGCGAATCCAGCAACTTTTGGTTTTGAAGCTGTTTGTCTGGATTGCCAGAGAGACGTGGTAATCCATGACAATGCAACTTCTGCCTCCTGTTCGCAGAAGTGAGGCGTAGCTCTCACGTCTCTGCAAGCCGTTGCAGCCCTGCTCTTCTGAAAGTGCTGAGGTCTGTTGACATTTGGAGCGTCGGGGTCATGCTTTACTGGATGATGACGCTTGTTTGCATCCGCAGTCAGATTTAGCTTGGGCGTGTTCTCTGCATCCCTCCACTTCAGCTCACTTGCAGAACCCGCCTCTAATATCATGACACTATTCAATAAATGAGTGGAGGCGCTTTGTAGAAGAGTCCGGAATTTTGCCTTGCTGCGGTTCTGAGTTGAAAACTCCACCTTTCCAGAATTCTTGCTATATTCGCATAAGAAGCTGTATGTCGTATACTGGCAGTGGTACAAGGTTCAGCCAAGATGCTCAAGGGGGGCAACATAAGAAACGCTCCCGTTGCAATGGCCAAGGTCTCGACGACTGCCATTCGGACAGGCAAAGCTAGATGTGTGTTTTGCCGAAGCATGTGAAGCGAGCCTTCCGGCAGGCCGGACCCAATGAGGAAAATGCAAAAGCTCGTCTGCAGTTTTCGTCCAGTGTTGTTTGGCCGCACGAGATGCGTAGTTGCCGGTGCAGCAATAGCTGCCTTGTCTGGCCTTACTTGTGAGGCCTGGGTCAACGCCGGCCAGGACTTAGAATCAGGTTTGCAGCAAGCATTGCAGCATGGTCATGGCCAAGTCTGTCAGGATGTGGTGAACATCGTTACCTCGATGCTGCACAAAGATCCTGCTTCTCGCTTGGACTGCAAGAAGGCCCAAATTTTGAATAGTTCAAGCCGGGCCACTGTGAAGGTGGGAGGGATGTGTCACTCTTGCTAGGTGCTGGAGCACCCTTTCATTACCAAGATTGCGCCAAAACTACCCGTGGGCGTGATCGCATGGTGCTCAGCATGTTCTTAAATCGGAGTCTGTCTTGTTGGACGATTGCTAGATGTGGTCTTGCTGGCTCTGCTGGGTGTTTAAGATTTCGTTTTGTTGTGCCTCATGCCCATACAGAGGCTTGTGTGACGTCTTGGCCTTTGGGAGGCCTACGGATAAGAAACTGCAAAGTTATGGGGCTGAGTCCAGTGGAGTCCTGCCGAGAGACAGAGGGGTCCGGCTTGGAACGTGCTAGGTTGAAAATGGTTGAAATCTAAAAGACACGCTGGCTGAAGCCGCGCATGTAATCCTGGTGCTGGATTGAGGGCCGGGCAGGAAGGGCCTTGAATCCAATTGTTTTGGGCAGCCTTCCCGCAGTGCTCCACCGCAGCCTTTCACAAAAGGCGACTCTTCCAAAGAGCATCACAAGACTTTAAGCGAGGGGCAGTCACCTGTCTTCTCGCCACTTTTGGGGCAGCTGCGTGCCCTTGTGCTAACTCTTGGTGTGCCGAGGAAGACAAGCATATTGAAGGCTTGAAGAATTACAGATCTCTGAACAAGTTCAAACGAGCGTGTTTGAACATGTGCCTGGGCTGCGAGAGTCGGCTCACACTTCCTTGAAGTTGGACTTGCTCAGAGTGTATTGTACCACCCTCTGAGGACAGCATGCATGCTGGGGGAGGCAGAGGTTGGACCAAGCAGGCAGCTCTTCTTGGTAGCTTGGCCGAAGTCATTGAGAGCACGCATTTCTTCCCTTCTTCGTGCACATGAGGACTTGCAGTTTAGGATCTAGGTTCAGGGGCGCAAGATTTAGGGTTTAGGTGCAGGGTTCCAGCTTTTGAGGCTTTACAAGGGTGCAGGTTTGGGGCCAGCGGTTTAGGGGTGGCATTTAGGGATTACGATCTGGCAAAGAGTTACGGTTGCGCTTCAGGGTTAGGATATGGGAAGGTTGCAGTTAGCGTGTTGGGACATAATTTTATCGCTAACGCGAGACCGCCTCGGCAAAGGTAGTCGAGGCAAAGGTACCCCAAATCATATTTTTGTGTAGGGTGTGGGTTGAGGATTAGGGCACTGCACTGGGTTGGGGTCTCGGGTTTAGGGCAAGGTTCCCACGAGGATCAGGGTTTGCAGGCTCATGAGGCTTCTGTGGAGCAGGGGCGCTGTCATTGGATTTGCCACCTTGCGCTGAGCATGTTCTTAAGGCGCTAGACGAAGACTGCAACGGCTTCGTGTCCATGTCAGAGCTGGTGGCTCTGTCAAAGGCAGATGCTGGCAACTCAGCTCCCATTTGTGCCATGCGGGTTGACCTGGCAGGCTGCTGCGAATGTAACGAAGAGCTCGAAGGCAAGCTTCCCTAGCGGCACCAGTGTTGACTGCAGACATGCAACGTGATCATATGCGCAGTCCATCAAGAAAAAAGATGCGATAAAGATCTTCAAAGCGGATGGCCACGAAGAAGCTATCCAGGACAGGGTTCCATGATTTCTTTGGTGATGCATACTTTCTGCAGCTCACACTGGTGCAGCTGGCTCGTGGTGAAATGGATACCGTATTACAAGTATGGGAGCCTCTGTTGGATCTGTTGGGCCCGTGGCGTGTGGAAACATGACCTGCAGGCAAACGACTGAGTGAGCCGGGTCCCACAAGCTTGCAGCCCAAAACGCGTGCCTTGCAGGGACCATGCCCCAACAAAGCTGGGGGTTACCGCAAAACCGCAGGCAGCCTGACAAAGTCCTTCCATCTACATTCGACATGCCACAACCGGAAGTAGCAAAAGATGAGGGCGGGAGAATGAAAGAAAGTCTGAACAAGCAAGCAAGCCATGCAAGCCTTAGCATCTGCGTACCACAAGTTGTAAGCTGCATCCCCCGAGTCCTGCATTCGTGTTCCGGAGCTTGCGCAACAAACTTGAAAAACGGCTAGGCCTGCATGTGGCCAGGCGAGCCCAAAGGATTGAGCAACAGCCAGCCATCGGAGCAGTCGGAGATGGTTTCCGTGCGTTGTCACTTGAGGCGTTTGAGGCGTTTGAGGTGTTCGCGGCACGGTCTCAGCTTCCGTGAATGCTGAGGTTCAGGGACCCGCTGCTCTAAGCTTTGCAGTCAATCCTTGCGTCGCCGTCATCGACACGTTTGCTCATCGATCCAGCGTTAATTCGTGTCAGCGTGATTGAATTGGAAATCCCCAACATGTTGTTGCCAGGACTTTACTTTCACAGAGTTCATCGCGGCAACCTTCAATCGCAAAAAATGCCTCACCGAAAAGGTTGGCCGGGTCATCTTTAACAGCCACTTGACTGTCAATTTGAAGGCATCATTGTCGTCTGGTACCACCATGGAGGATAATTACCACTAACCACAAGCAACATCAATGGACCCGGAATTGACCTAGACACCAGCATCACGCAGGGTTGTCTCGGGTCTAGAGGATTCTAACGCTCTCGGATAACAACTGTCCGCAACTGTGCTGGAGAAGCTTGTTTCCAAGCGGTCATTTTGATCCTTAAATGGTGGAGGCGCGGTGCAATCTGAAGCATTTGGCGCTGTTGTTGCTGCAGACAGCTGCAAGGGATTTGGGGTTGTGACACGGAGGATGAGAGATTGTTGTTGAGACGAGTCGAGGTTTCGACAAAAATGGCGACGGCTGCATTCAGCTGAGCCTCTTTGCTGCATGGCCATCATGTGATTGTTGGTGCAGCCTTCGCGTATTGACTGTTTTGGGCCGGCCTGTCTGAACAGAGCTGTTGGCTTTCGTTCTGCACTGGCTTGCAGTGCTGAGGCGAGCTGGCAGAAGGCCGGAGGGGAACCTCTCAGAGTCTGCGAGGACTTGTTTGCTCTTGGTTCGCTTTTCAGGAAGATTGCTGGGTCATCTTAAGGCTGCCGAGCTGGCAGCAGCCTTGGTCAAGCATTCTCAAGAGTCACATTGAACGGCTGCCCTCGAAGTCTCCACAGGTTCAGACGTTGAAGGATCTTGATCTCAATGGAGATGCAGAGATCGATTTCAAGGAGTTTATGGCAATGTGCCGAGAGTGATGTGTGGCCGCTTTGGGCGAGCCGTTTGTACAGATGTGACGTGCTTCAGAGCTATCTATGCCTCCGCAAGCAAAGCTTAGGGCTTAGGAGCTGCTGGAAAAGCTTGTAACTGCGGTCTCGCGTTTTTCATCAACAGCCTCCATGTTTCTTTTCCGCCACATGGCTGCTGTGGTGCACCTCCAACTCCGGGGAGGACGGTCTCTTTCACAAGCTGTCCACTCTGGCTTACATGTTTGGACTTTTGTGTGACGGTATTTTCTTTAACATGGACCAGGCATTCGGCAATTCTGGCTCATCGTGTTGCCCTGCCTCTTGTAGAAGCGCTGAGAATCAGCGTGCGGCTACGGAGGTTAAACTTTGATGTGCGTTTGAGGGTTTGACGGAGAGATGCGGCTTTTCGCCTGTAAGGGCTACGAAAGCCAAGACGCAGCGTGCAAAGAAGCCGAGCTTCAGCATGTGATTTCGCGTGGTCGAAAACACCACTTTGGGAGACACCTTCGAAGACATCTGGCCAGGTCATGTGGCTCTTTGTTGGGCTCATTGAGGCTGGTCGCAGGCATTAGCCATTTTTGGCCATTGGTTGTTGAGGCTTGAAGGCAGTTCGGGATCCGGATCTCATCCGCGGTGTTCTCTAGATGTAAAAGGATGTTCTTCTTGCCAGCATCCTTTCAAGTAAGTGTCGCAGACTCTGCATGCACCGGATGCCATGCCTGCCTGAGAATTTTCTCAACACAGTCAATGAGGGACACTGCAAGTCTCGCACTTGCAGTCCCGCGAGCAAGCTGTAATCTTTGTTGGACAATGAGTCCAGGCCTCGGCCCATGCCCTATAGGTGACTTGCGTTGTTATGCTGCAGGCAATGTGGCCGCGATCACACTACCTGGCACTGACGGGGGCTGAGACTTGCTTCGCCAGTCGACAGGGTAACGTCGGGCTCCAGCTCCGTCTAATGTCTGGTCATCGGCAAGCCCAACTGGACTCCAAGACAAAGCGGGATAGGTCATGTACATGTATCGGCAGCCTTTGCTCGTTGCATGGGCTTGGGCCCGCAGGGAGGTTGGTTCGTGTTGGAGAGATGGTTTGCACAGCAGACTTGCGAAATCGCTCACCTTTCGGCACTTTTCCACACACAGAAGGGGCCTTCTTCAACTTCACGGAACGCTTTGCCAGCAGTCTTGGTGCTTTTGATTGTTTCCAGGTCAGAGGCAGTCATGCACTTCGAGTCCTTCGTGCGACCACAGGCCAGATCAAATTCCTGACGGCCTAGTAAGCAGAGGTTGTGCAAGCTGATTGATGAGCTTCTCAGCTTCAAAGGCAGATCTGCGAATAGAGGCCTGAGACTGACAAGCTTTGCCAAAGGTTGGGAGTGAAGCGGGTTTCGCGTTTGAGTGGTAGCTGTGCACATGAAGGGAAAATGAGAACGAAGGCGCATGGCTATTTGGGAGGCTGACAACTTGGATGCCTTCAACTACAACTTTCCCTATCGCCGTACCGGCAGAGGTCTCCGCGTGATATTTCCTGAGGCTGGTAACAAGGGATTTTGGTTCTGGAGCTGCAGAGGGCTGAATGACATCTGATCTTGCTGTGAGCAGCGGCTACAGTTGCGAAGCGCTTGCACAGCTGTCCGTGATCTTTGCATGGCAGCAAAGCAAAAGCTCCCCAACCTTTGAATCACAGCGGAATATGAGGCCATTCTTGTCAGAAGCCCTGGATCCAAAGCCCTCAACTCGAAGATTCGAACTTGCACGCATCTCTGAGTGATTTGGAAAGGCTACGAGTGGCTTTCTAGAATTACCGCATTGTCATTGTTGTGAGTGAGCCTGGACATGCAACGCAGTCCAGTTGCCACACAATTCGCCTGCGGCAATCTGAGAGTGATTTTGAACGGACAGCTTGGTAGCTGCAAGAAGGAGTACATCTTTTGCTAGAGCTGCTCTATCGGCTAGCTCCATACATTATGCAGGTCTTGCGACCGTACGTCACCAAAGACTTGCTCGCATCAGCCTGAGGGGAAGTGGAAACTACATGATCTACATGATGCTTGCTTGCCATGAATACATTGAGCTAAGCTCCTGACCTTAGGTGGAATCGTTGGAGGATGGTGTCCCATTGCAAGCGGTACTTGGCCAGGCCAGGTTGCAATTTACTACGGGGGCCTTCAATGTGCGACGAGTCTGCACGAAGTAGCCCTGTCTGCACGAAGTGGCCTTGTTTTCCATGCGTGCAACCATGCGAGGTCTGCAGTTTTGAGATACTGCTGGGTAATATGAAGGTGTGATCTGTGGCAATCCATGCATTCCATGGTCCATGATTGTAGTTTGCACTCGCATTTGTTGTCCTTAGCTCTCGTCACGTTGTAGGATGTTTGAAAGAGCGTAATAGGAATTAGTAGGACGTCTTGTAAGAGGCCTCCAGAGCCAACCGCGACTGCATGGAACTTGGTTTCTGCGCATACACTTGCAAACAGACACAGTGACCGTGAGCGAATGCGATTCGTCGTAAATCTCCTTCCAGGTACTCCAACACCAGGAGCAATGCTGAATGTGCCAGTTGAACAGCTCCGTACGGAGGTTCGGTCCTTGCATCAATAGCAGTGCGTGGATATGATTGCAGTTCACAAATGCCTTCCAGATGAGGTGCAAGCTCAGTTTTCTTGTGTCTCTGTGGAGAGACCGCAGAACTAACTGCTGTATGAGAATCCAGCCGCGACATTTGCCTCAAGTACCTTTTAGGGTTTGGACCCGTGCAACCTTCTTGCGAAGCATCCTTCAGAGGGGCTTGGAACCTTCGCAGCAGTGGGGACTTGGAGGGTGTTGGACGGCCGCCCTAGGAGCGATCGGCGAAAGCCCAAAAATCCTGCTTCCACCCGAGCCTGGCGATATCTGGTGATGGCCAGATCCCTGTGTAATGCTGGCCTGAGATGGCATTTCCTACATCAGAAAGCAAGTATTGCCATCCTTGTGAACAGTGTCTCTTTCGTGTTTCTTGGATAACAGATGTGTCTTTGGAAGATTGATATCCTAGAGCCGGAGGAACACAGAAGAATGGTGATGTTGATTAGCATTCATTAACAGGGTTCGAAGCCAAGGAAACACACACCGTCAACCATGTAAAGTCTGCTTCTTCTGAGCAGCAGCAGCAGCAGCAGCAGCAGCAGCAACAGCAGCAGCAGCAGCAGCAGCAGTAGTAGTAGTAGTAGCAGTAGTAGTAGTGGTAGTGGTAGTGGTAGTGGTAGTGGTAGTGGTAGTGGTAGTGGTAGTGGTATGTCCGCGTCCCGTTTGTGACGCCACATTTTCGTGTACCTTGCATCTCTAAAGTCCCACGTTTTTTA